GCAACTGATGTCATTTCTCTAGGCTAAAAGGAACAGAGTCACAAGATATTAGACTGCTTAAAGCAGATAAGAAGTTGTTTGTGGATTTAAAAGTGTTTATGACATCTAGAAATGTTGCATTAGAAGATAAGAACTTATTTGTGCAATTAAAGATGTCTACTTGCTTGAGAAGTTAGAAATCTTTAAGTTTACGGTAGATAAGAAGCTGATTTGAAGCAAAAGTGTGATATTCTTAGATAACGCAGTGTAGTGGCTGGGCGTGATTCTGTTATTTTAATGGAACCTTTCTGCTAGATCCTCCTAGAGTGGGTGTGGCGCCCGCCCACTTCGGGAAAGCTGCCAGGAAAAGGGTTTAAAAGTGGGGAGCTCAAGCGTAATCGATTTGGGGGAGCAGACTTCCTAGCAGACGAGGATGCTCTGACGCTGGGAGTCTTGCCAAGGCTATATTGGCTCATTGATTGGTTGCGTTTACGGCTTCCCTGCGACCCCCTGTGCATTATGATTCCGATGGGGTATGTTCCTTCCCATAGCTTTGGTAATGTATTAATTCTATGCTGTGACACTGTTAAAAGATGTGTCTATTTCATGCTGTAATGCTCACATTATTATTGGTGTGTGTTATTATGCTGATTGTGATGACTATAAGATATATCCTCCTGTGTGTCGTGTGATAATAAAAGTGGAGGTTTTGACAGTGCAAGAATATTGCAGTTGGATTCTGTTATTTCTTTGAGTGCCGAGTGAATGCTATGATGTGCCAGGGCTGGTATTCATTTGGTAAAGGGTCTTTCACATGCTTAGAATTAATGGTGTAAATGCTGGTTAAATGTACCTATGTGTGTGACTACCTGTGTGTTATGTGTATATGACTTTCTTTTAGTTATTGCATCCAGCACTGCATTACACACCACCCCACACACGCAGACATTTCAGTTTTGGTTTTCGGCTGCGTGCATTCTGACTTTTAGGGCTCATGTACACAGGGCGTTTGGAAAACTCTTCTGAACAATGGAAACGGACTGCTGGAAAATGTAGGTTAAAAAACATCAGTTTAGCCACGTTTTTAAAAGATAACCTTCCCAAATGCCCAGAATGCACTGAAAAATAGTAAAAAAAAGTTACTATTTCAGACATTTTGAGAGGAATAGAGCAGAAGCAGAGAGCAGTATGTGTTGAGATGACTTGTCTTTTCTGTTTGTATTCACTATGGATCCCATCATGATCATAATGCAGCACGTTCTACCATTTTTTCCTTCACACAAAACCTGGATCTGACTGCACTGGTGTACTAGGTCAATTTGAATACATGGAAAACGCTTTGCATGCATTTCTGATGATGAAAAAAGGCTTTGGACAGCATCTGGACATGGAACAGTTAACAAAAGCTTCTAAACGCAAATGCTTATAAGCACGGTTAACAAACATGTTTACAAACATTTGGCGTTTGAAACGTCAGTAAATTCTACTCCTGAATGCAAAGTTTGGTGCATTCAAAGAATCGACTGCAAACTTAACTGCCTGTAAACGACCATGTGGACACAGGAAACCATTAGGGAGAGTTCAGGGGCTGCTGAAAAAAAAACGGTCAACAGCTCCTGAACATCAGTTTAGGAGCTGCAGTGTACTTGAGCCCTTAGTATCAGTTTCGGCACCAGAATTTTCATTTCTGTGCATCTTTAGGGCAAACTGTTGGCTCTATTTAAATCCTGAATAATAATAATTCAATTATATAACTATAATTTCAGCCAGTCACACAGAATCCTTGCCGGATATAGAAGGCACAGTGAGAGAGAATTACAGACGCACTGAAAACTGAAGCAGCAAAAGACAAAACCAACACATCAAGAGGAGGGGGTCATCACTGCATGGAACCATTTTCAGCAAGCAAGAGCTAAGGATAGGCATGGGTAAATGGTAAACCTGAACTCCAGGCATATAAAAGACACAAAGCTGATCTCCAGCACAAAAAAAAAAAAAAAAAAAAAAAAAAAAAAAAACACCCCTTGCAGTGAGCTCTCCCCTTTCTCCAATCCATTACAAGGGTTTACTGCTCATTTATAACAAGGGGAATAGGAAAATCACCTGAAAGCCTCATGCACAGTGGATGCTTTGGCCATCTCTTCTAGATGGTTTTATACACATCAAGCATTTTTTCTGCCACAGCGTCACTGTCCTTGGGATGCACTAGCAGTGTTTTTTTTTCCTGCCTCTAAATGCCTGTGTGTGCATGGACACATAGACAAACATGCAGGAATGTTTACAGACATACAAAACACACACGACACCCCTAAGAGCACCTTTAAAAAATGCCTAAGGTCTTACTTATCTGGTCTCTCGTTCCAGCAGCAGATGATGCTCAACCCCTCCCCCTTAACCACTTGCCGACCGCGCATAGCCGAATGACGGCTTCACCGCGGCCGGCCAGTTCTGAGTGGACGTCATATGACGTCCTCCCAGAACCGCTCTCCTGCGCGCCCCAGGGGGCGCGCACCCGGCGATCTCCGTGATCGCTGTGTCCTACGGACACAGCTGATCACGAGATGTGGTGAAAGGCCGATCCCACCGGCCTTTTACCACGTGATCAGCGGTGTCCAATGACACGCTGATCACAGGAAAATGCAAGTGCCGGTTCTCGGCTGCACTTTCCTCACGCTGTCAGATCGTGAGGAAAGTACTGCCGAGAACCGGCAGTTGTCAGAGCGGGGATCGGCACCGATCATCAGGGCACTGATGATCAGTGCCCTGATGATCGGTGCCCAGCAGTGACCCCCGCAAGTTCCGATCAGCTGTGCGCCCACTAGCCCCGCCCACCCATTCCCAGCAGTGCCCCCACCTGTGCCCAGCAGTGCCCCCACCTGTGCCCAGCAGTGCCCCCACCTGTGCCCAGCAGTGCCCCCACCTGTGCCCAGCAGTGCCCCCACCTGTGCCACTCTGCAGTGCCACCTACCTGTGCCCAGCAGTGCCACCTACCTGTGCCCAGCAGTGCCACCCACCTGTGCCCACCCCACCTGTGCCCACCAGCGCCACCCACCTGTGCCCACCCACCAGTGCTGTCCACCAGTGCCACCCACCAGTGCTGCCAGTCATTGCCACCAGTCAGTGCCCAGGGGTTGTGCCAGTCAGTGCCGCCAGTCAGTGCCCAGAAGTGATGCCAGTCAGTGCCGTCTATCAGTACCCATCATCAGTGTCACCTATCAGTGCTGCATATCAGTGCCGCCTATCCGTGACCCCTAATTAGTGCTGTCTATCAGTGCCGCCTATCCGTGCCACCTCATTAGTACTGCCTATCAGTGCCCTTTAGTGCTGCCTATCAGTGCCCATCAGTGCCGCCTCATCAACGCAAATCAGTGAAGGAGAAAAAATACCTGTTTGAAAAATTTTATAAAAGAAACAAATAAACTTTTTTTTTTTTTCAAATTTTTTGCACTTTTTTAATTTATAGCGCAAAAAGTAAAGCGCCCAGTGGCGATTAAATACCACCAAAAGAAAGCTCTATTTGTGAGAAAAAAAATGATCAAAATTTCATATGGGTACAATGTTGCATGACCGCGCAATTGTCAATCAAAGTGCGGCAGCGCTGAAAGCTGAAAATTGGCCTGGTAAGGAAGGGGGTATAAGTGCCTGGTAGGCAAGTGGTTAAGCCAGCCATAGATGGCTTGAATCTCTGCCAGTTCTGTGGGGACCGGCTGAGATTCGATCCACCTATGGGCAGGCTGGTTGTACTAAAGTCGATCCATCCATTCAGTCTGTTGGATTTTTTTCATGCAATCAATGCCACCAGCTATAGCAGCCAGCAGTAATCCTGTTCTGCTGGCAGAAAAGGCTCCCCGCCGACAGAACACAATAGGGTTGCAGCAGGGATCCCCCAACAACACTGGCTGTGTTGATGGGGGAATCAAGTGATTTTCTTTTCTTACACACCCATTGTGGAAGGAAATAAAGTTGAATAATCTATGGCCTGCTTTATACTCTAGGCTGTGCGCTGTCCCTCAGCTTTCCTCATATACAATACAGGCCTATTGGTCCTGGCGCCATACTTGATGATCTAGCAATGCTGCAACTGCTGAAGTGTTTGGGAGATTGCAGAGAGGCTGCAAAGATCCGCTTTGGGGATTAGCTAAACAAATGCTCATTTTCTGATTACCCCAGGCATAAACAAGCATTTAGCCCTTAGACTGCAGGGGAAAGTCCAACTGCAAGGTGAGGTTTTTTTTTTTATTATTATTATTATTATTATTATTATTATTAAGAGTTCATTCTTAATAAAACTAGGTATTCATTGATAAATCATTACATGTGTTTTTTTTTTAAAGAAACTATTTTAAGTCCCTGTATTAGATTTAGTATCCGCTTTTTGCAGTCCCTGATACAGAAGCCCTCAGATTGGGAGCGAGAGGAGCAGGACTGGGAACCAATCAGATATGCTGCATACAAATATGCTGATACAGATGATTATAGGAGGGCAAGAGCAGAGTAAATAGATGCCCACATCAGTATGCTTAATGATATGTTATTCTAATGCAATATGCATTTTATGGTAACCACAATCATTTTTTTAGCTTTGGTTTTACTTATTCCATTTATTCTTCCATTAAAAACTGACTGCCTTACCACACAGGATATACCAAATGGACTGTCATGCACTTAGACCTGAAACATCAGGGTTCTACACAAATCCCTATATTTGAATGACAATGTGGGAACAAGAGAGCAGAGAAGCTGGTCTCATGAAAATCTTGGTTAACCAGGTTGTTTTCACTATAGTCCCAGCTGTTCTCCAAATTGTCACTGCTGTGCTCTGCAGCCCTTACAGTGTATGCACACTTGTAATAAACAACTGAATAAAGTCTACGTGAATGTCAATAAAACATTTTTCGAGAACTGTCAAACCATTTCCCAAGTAAAATAAAATTGTTGTTCACTGTCTGTGGGTCTCTTTTCACTAAAATTTCAGAGCACAGCATTAACCAACTATATTAGATTTGTAAAACAATACTTACAGGTATGTAAGCACTCAGTAACAGTAGTGGCGTCAATAAGGTAACCATTGCACAAGCGACATGTGATGTGAGCATTAATATCCCAGAGTTTTATCTTTCTGGTCAGCATCTTTGGTGTCTGGAATAAAAAGAAAAAAATAGTTTAAAAAGATAACAAAATGAAGAAAATGTAAGTAACACTGAGGTATTAGTTATACAACACCAAGCAATTCAGATTATGCATTTTTTTTTAATGGAATACTAAAAGTACTACATGTGATAGTATGTTTGGGTAAAATGGTAACATTGAAGTGTAAGTTCACCCCTACAAAAAAAAAAGCACACTATGCTGTCCTATATGGGTAAAGCAGCATAGTATGCTAAACCTACTTCCCAGCCAGGGCTCCCTTTCTGTTTAAACAATGAAGTCTACAATTGCACTTAGAAGAAGCTTCTTGAAATCCTCTAAAGTCTGTGATAACTCCATCCTGAGTTCCTATAGGCACGGAGGAGATGTTGGGACCAGAGCCCCCTAGTGCCTCAAGAGGGTGCACTGTCCTGTTCATTTTGGGTCACATATTAATTTACTGTATGTTCTTTTATTTTATTGTATTGACCCAGTTTTCCCCCCTTTCTCATATAGATGACTCCACTTCATCAGGAGCATAGATAAACACATTGAGCTATACTACATTCTACACTGCACCCGCAACTGCAAAAGCCACAAACAAGAAGTATGGAAATGCTTGTATTTACTATATCTACACGAGTGAGGGGTTGCAAATACAGTGCCTCGAAAAAATATTCATACCCCTTGAAATTTTGTACATTTTGTCATTTTACAACCAAAAACGTAAATGTATTTTGATGGGATTTTTTGTGATAGACCAACACAAAGTGGTACATAATTGTGAAGTGGAAGGAAAGTGATAAATGGTTTTCAAAATGTTTAACAAATACCTGAAAAGTATGGCATACATTTGTAACCAGCCCCCTTTAACCTGATACCCCTAACTAAAATCTTGTGGAACAAATTGCCTTCAAAAGTCACCTAATTAGTAAATAGAGTCCACCTGTGTGTGATTTAATCTTAGTATAAATACAGCTGTTCTGTGAAGCCCTCAGAGGTTTGTTTAAAGAACATTAGTGAACAAACAGCATTATGAAGGCCAAGGAACACACCAGACAGGTCAGGGATAATGTTGTGGAGAGGTTTACAAAATCGCATGCCAATTCGCATCCAGTGTGACTGGGGACTTAATCAGAGAAGCATTCAAGAGGGCCCATGGTAACTCTGGAAGAGCTGCAGAGATCCACAGCTCAGGTGGAAGAATCTGTCCACAGGACAACTATTAGTCGTGCACGCCACAAATCTGGCCTTTATGGAAACATGTGGAAGAAGGTCAGATGAGACCAAAAAGCAAAATGCTATGTGTGCTGGAAAACTAACACTGCACATCTTCCTCAATACACCATTCCCCACCGTGAAACATGGTGGTGGCAGCATCATGTTGTGGGGATGCTTTTCTTAGAATGGACAGGGAAGCTGGTCAGAGTTGATGGGAAGATGGATGGAGCCAAATACAGGAACCCATTATCCTCCAGTGTGGTCATATTCCAGAACTGCAACCTACCTGAAGTAGCCAGAAGTACAAGGTGTCCAGAGCTCAGAGACATGGCCAAGGTGAGGAAGGCTGAAACCTTACCACCACTGAACAAGACACATACGTTGAAATGTCAAGACTGTCAAAAAATCTGTCTTCGGCTATTTTTTGACCCAAAGGGTTTAAGTACTGATGAGATGGCAGTGACTCTAGGCAGACCAGATGGATGGGCCCGTGGCTGGATCAGTAATGGGCACAGAGCTCCACTTCGACTCAGACACCAGCAAGGTGGAGGTGGAGTACTGATATGGGCTGGTATTATTAAATATGAGCTAGTTGGACCTTTTTGTGTTGAAGATGGACTCAAAATCAACCTACTGCCAGATTTTAGAAGACACTTTCTTGAAACAGTGGTACAGGAAAAAGTCTGCATCTTTCAAGAAGACCATGATATTTATGCAGGACAATGCTCCATAGACTGCATCGAAATACTCCACTGTGTGGCTAGCCAGTAAAGGCCTTAAATAGAAAAAGAATAACGATATGGTCCCGCCTCACCTGACCTAAACCCTATTCAGAACTTGTGGGCCCTTCTTAAATGGGAGGTTTACGGTGAAGTAAAACAGTACACCTCTCTGAACATGTCTGGGAGGCTGTGGTTGCTGCTGCACAAAACGTTTATTGTCAACAGATCAATAAACATACACAGACTCCACGAATGGAAGGCTTATGACTTATTGAAAAGAAGGGTGGATATATTGGTCACCAATTTGTTTTTTTGAATTGTTAGAGATGTTTATTTGTAAATTTTGAGTTGTTTATTATTCTCACTTTAACAAATGAAAATAAACAAGTGAGTTGGGAAAATTTTTCGCTATTATTTAGTTGCATAATAATTCCGCACACATAGATATTCTCCTATGAAAGCCAAAACCTCACTTTCACTTTCTTAAATATTCAGGTTTGAGGTTTATTAACATTTTGGATTGACCAAGAGCAGTGTAGTTGTTCAACAGTAAAATTAATCCTCAAAAATACAACATGCCTAATAACTGTACATAGTGTAGATGGATAAGTATGTATTGCCAACGTCTGGAAGATCCAATACTTAAAGCGATACTAAAGGATCTTTTTTTTTTTTTTAACCACCTCCCGCCCGCCATATGGCGGACACAAGGTGGGTCTCTCGTTCTGGGAGGACGTCAAATGACATCCTCCCATTCTCACCACGCATGTGCGGCTCAGGGAGCGCACAGTGCGGTTATCGGTGGTGCGCTGTGTCCCTCTGACACAGCGGAGAACAGATCACGAGAAGAGCCGAAGATGTCGGCTCGGTCATGTGATCAGCTGTGTCCAATCACAGCTGATCACATGTAAACAGGGAAATGCCGGTTATCTGCATTTCTCTCCTCTCGAGCTGCCACGCTGACAGCTTGAGAGGAGAGCCGGTAATCGGCTTTCCGCGGAGGGGACATGTACACTGATCATCAGGGCACTGATGATCAGTGTAGCCCCAGCAGTGCCTCGTGCCAATGCCCATCAGTGCCACATAACAGTGCCTACCAGTGCAAATCAATGCCACATATCAGTGCCCATCTGAGCTGCCTTTCAGTGTCACAATGCCAATCAATGCCAATCAGTGCCAGTGAGACCTATCAGTGCCAGTGAGTGCCGCCTATCAGTGCCAGTGAGTGCCGCCTATCAGTGCCAGTGAGTGCCGCCTAACAGTGCCAGTGAGTGCCGCCTAACAGTGCCATATATCAGTACCATGTATCAGTGCTGCCTTTCCGTGCCCATCAGTGATGCCTGTCAATGCCCATCAGTGCCACCTACCAGTGCCTCATCAGTGTCCATCAGTGCAGCCTATCAGTGCCCATCACTGCAGTTTCATTAGCGCACATCAGTGGAGAAAAATCACTTATTTACAAAATTTTATAACAAAAACTAAGAAAAACGTTTTTATTTTCAAAATTTTCAGTGGTTTTTGGTTTAAGAAAAAATAAAAAAACCCAGAGGTGATTAAATACCACCAAAATAAAGCTGTCACAAAAAAAAAATGTTAAAAATTTCATATGGGTACAGTGTTGCATGACCGTGCAATTGTCATTGAAAAGTGCGACAGCGCTGAAAGCTGGAAATTGGCCTGGGCAGGAAGGGGGTATAAGTACCCTGTAGGCTTGTGGTTAAATAACATGTCTATACTTTCCTGCTGTGTACAGTGGTTTGCACAGAGCAGCCTGGATCCTCCCCTTCTCTTGGGACTCCCGAAGGCTCTCCTGGCTCCTGTTGGGTGCCCCCATAGCAAGCAGCTTGTTATGGGTCACCCGCTGCTCCATGTGTCCATTCACACATGGAGCCGCAGCTTGGCCCCATTCCTTCTCTATCCTCATTGGTTAACTGGCTGTGATTGACAGCAGCAGGAGCTTGCTGTCTCAGCCAATGAGGAGGCAGGGACCCAGGACAGCCGAGGCTGTCATACATATCACTGGATCTTGATGGCGCTCAGGTAAGTATTGAGGGGGCTGGGGGAGCTGCTGTATACAGAAGGTTTTTTTCCCTCCATGAATGCATGAAGGTAAAAACACTTGAGCCTTTACAACCACTTTAAGTCACTGCTTCTGCCTATAAAATATATATTTCCCTAGCTCTGCAAAGAGAAGGTACAATTAGCAAGATCTCTGCTTTTCATGTATTCTATTTTTCATAATTCAATGTAAAAAGAGGAAAGCCACAGCATTGTCTGGAAACACATATCTTTGTGGCCCAAATTGATATCCAAATTCATTCCTGTACTGTTTAATTGAAGATGTGTTGATATATAGGTCATCTTAAAATAATGAACTTACAAAGAAAATGTAATGTATTGCAAAAGTTTTTGTCAATGTCTATCCAAAAACTTTTGTGTTTTGGATTAAGTGTGGATAACTGGAACCCCTGTCAGGTTTTCAATGCTATCTGGGGCTGTGAGATTTACCTTCACTTCTTGTCCTGCTGACAATGTTGTGCCAGACATGAATTAAAATGAAACTCTGCAACAGCAGTTGAGAGGTGACAGCCCCTTTCTACAAAAAAAAAAATTTAGATTTTTCTGCATTCGGTTTCAGAATCCTCACTTAATGTATGCCAAATCATTTTTGAGGACAGAAATTGAGGAAACAGAGCCCCTGATATCAGTAACAAAAGCTGGAAGGGGTTCTAACCCTTTTTCACTCTACACAAAACTAAAAACACAGTTTTGCCTGAACACTTTTAGGCAAGAAAGCAATGACGCAGTAATATAATCGACCAAAAACATGGTTATCACCGTTTTGCCGATAGAAAAAAAGAAAATAAATTGTTAATCGCCAGTGCCATGCCGTAATATGCAGCCTCAGCAGACATCACTCTGTTTCTGTGGCCACTGCTCTGCTCCAGTGCCCACCCCCAAAAGCCAGGCTATTTTTTGCGTGATGCCACCAAAAAGCCCAATATAATACACAAATAGATAGATAGATATTTATTATCTATCTATCTATATATATTTATC